TACCCGATCTGGTGAAGGAAACAGATTTCCAGGAAGTCCAGAGAGTCTCAAAGAAAATGGACCCGAGGAGGAACACACCACGGCACCTCATAAGTAGGTTAGCCAAGATTAAAGATAAAGAGAGAATCTTAAAAGCACCAAGAGGAAAGGAGTGAGTTATCTACAAAAAAGTGCCCATAAGACTATCAGCTGATTTCTCAAAAGAAACCTTGCAGTCAAGAAGGGGCTAGAAAGAAGTATTTGAAGTCATGAAAGGCAAGAACCTACAGCCAAGAATACTCTATCCAGCAAAGCTATCATTTAGAATGGAAGGGCAGATGAAGTGCTTCCCAGATGAGATAAAGTTAAAGGAGTTCATCATACCAAGCCCTTACATGAAATGTTAAAGGGACTGATGTAAGATGTAGAAGATCAAAAACTAAAAAATAGCCCTAGCTGGTGTAGCTCAGTGGATTGAGCGCAGGCCTGCGAACCAAAGGATCGCAGTTTGATTCCCAGTCAGGGTACATGCCTGGGTTGCAGGCCAGTTCCCAGAAGGGGATGCACAAGAAGCAGCCATACACTGATATTTCTCTACCTCTCTCCTTCCCTTCCCTCTAAAGATAAATAAATAAAATCTTTAAAAAAAAAAAACAAACCTGAAAAGTAAAATGACTACAAAGTCATGACTAGCAACGACTGAATCTAAAACACAAAAACAAAAACTAAGCAAACAACTAGAAAAGGAATATAACCAGAGAAATGGAGATCACATAGAGAGTTTTCAGTGGGGAGGGAGGTACAGGGAATAAGAAGCGTAACTGGTAGGCATAAAATAGGGGGAGATTAAGGATACTATAGAAAACAGTGAAGTCAAAGAACTATGTACAACCCACAGACATGAACCAAAAGGTGGGAGAATGCAGAGTGGAAGGGGGGTTAGAGGGGAGAAAAAAAACTGTGACAAATGGAATAACAATAAAATATACTTAACAAAATAAAAATTAGTTGCTAATAAAAGTTCAATTTATAATAAAAAAAATGCATCTTTAAAAACCCCGTTCCATTCTCCCCACTCAGAGTATGTCTTTCGCTTTTACTGAGGGCTGTGTTCCCTGATTTGCAAATCCAAAAGAATAAACTCCCTTTCAGTTTCACAGAAGGGTCTTCTGGAAGTTTTGTTTACAATACATTTGTCCAAAACAGTAGAATGTACAAGAGTGAACTTTATGTAAACTTGTCTTTGAAGGGTGATGTGTCAGTGTAGGTTTATAAATTGTAAAAAGCTCTCAGGCTGGGGGATATTGGTATTGAGGGAGCCAAACAGGTGTTGGGGCAGAGGTATAGGGAAAATATCTGTAGCTGCTGTTCAAATTTGCTGTGACTGTAAACCTCTAAAAAAATAAACTACTAGAAACAAAATTGCTTAAGTGGCTCTCTGGTTGAGATATATGTAAGATTACTAAAAGGAATTTGAGTGTATGTTAGCATATGTAGTAAGAATTAGTATGCAGGACTTCTGCCAAGATGGAGGCATAGGTGGAGATACCGTGCTTCCTCACACAACCAAGTTTAGAGACAACTAAATAATAGCAACAGAAAACACAGCCAGAACACAGAAAATTGAACTTTTCGGAAGTCTGGTAAGAGGGGCAAAACCAGCAGCTGGCAGAACGGGGTTGCACAGGAAAACTCTGTGAGACGGACTCAGGTGCGTGGAATCCAGGCACAGGGTTGGACCTGGTGGGCAACTCAGCAAGCAATCTCGGGGAAACAGCGAGGGAGCAGGCAATTGGATGAGAGCCAGCAGCCCCAGGGGCAAGCTGTGGCAGAGGGCGCTGCCATTTCCCCACTCATGACCCCGCCTCCACATACAGCATCACAACCCAGCTTCCTGGGAGTCCAAGGCTCCGCTCCTCGTACTTAACGGGCGCGAACAGACCAAAAATGACTCAAGAAGATCTCAAAGCCCCAGTGCCTATAAATCTAAGTGATGAAGAAATAGCAAAACTCTCAGACGCACAGTTTAAAGCACTGGTGATCAGGATCCTCACAGAACTGGTTGACTATAGCCACAAATTAGACAAACATATGAAGGTGAAACTAATTGAAATGAATGGAATTGCACAGGAAACCAATAGCAATGAAAAGGAAACTGGGACTCAAATCAATGGAGTAGACCAGAAGAAAGCAAATAATGGCCAAACAGAAAAGAGTCAAGAAGCAAGAATTCAAAAAAAATTAGGAGAGTCTTAGGAACCTCCAGGACATCTTTAAACGCTCCAACATCCGAATTATAGGGGTACCAGAAGGGGGAAAGAAACTGCCACCAATGGAAAACTTATTTGAACAAATAATAAAGGAGAATTTCCCCAATCTGGCAAAGGCAATAGACTTCCAGGAAATCCAGGAAGTTCAGAGAGTCCCAAAGAAGTTGGACCCAAGAAGAAACACACCAAGGCACATCATAATTATATTAGCCAAAATTAAAATGAAGGAGAGAATCCTAAAAGCAGCAAGAACTAAGGGGACAGTCACCTACAAAGGAGTCCCCATCAGACTGTCAGTGGATTTCTCTAAAGACCCTACAGGCAAGAAGGGGCTGGAAAGAGGTATTCCAAGTCATGAAATCCAAAGACCTACAACCAAGATTGCTCTATCCAGCAAAACTTTCATTTAGAATGGAAGGACAGATAAAGTGCTTCTCAGATAAGATCAAATTCAAGGAGTTCATCATCACCAAGCCCTTATTATATGAAATGTTAAAGGGACTTATCTAAGAAAAAGAAGTTAAAAAAACATGAACAGTGAAAGGACAGCAAACTCACAGTTATTAACAACCACACCTAAAACAAAAGCAAACTAAAAGGACAGCTAGATCAGGAGAGGAAACACAGAAATGAAGGTCTCAAGGAGGGTTAGCAACAGGGGAGTGGGAGGAGGAGAAGGGGGCAGAAGGTACAGAAAATAAGTAGCATAGACAGTAGATAGAAAATAGATGGGGGCGGCAAGAATAGTATGGGAAATATAGAATCCAAAAAACTTGAGACACATGGTGATAAACTAAAGGGGGGTAATGGTGGGGATGGGGGGCTAGGGTGGAGGGGAATGAAGGGGGGGAATAGAACAACTGTAATGGCATAATCAATAAAAATAAATTTAAAAAAAGAATTAGTATGCAAATAAAACTATTCATGAGCGGGTCAGACACAATCGCTGTCAGTGACACAGGCAAGAGAGAAATTTTCCTGTGGAACCAGTGGCAGAGATCTAGCTTGCTCACCTGCTTCATTGCAACCTAATAGTCTTGTCATGGCCCTACATGGAACTTTTTCCTCTTGACCAGGCATACTGACAACACTGCGTAATTCTTCAGGTTACCTACACTTGAAGAGCAATATAACGTTTCCAGCTATGCGTGTACTTACATCTGAATGAGTATGGAAGGATACAGCAGTTTACATAAAGGAATATCTCAGACCTTAGGACTGAGAAATCACAGACCTCATCACACGCTGCTCACACACCCAATGGATCTTGCAGTAGTTGAAGAGCAGCTTTGCCTTCAGTGTCATCTGTTACTCTTCTGCCTCTGGAATTATCATGTCCACTCATACCACTCCAACCTTCCTCACCATGGCCACCTCCCTCCTTCACTTGTATTTATTGCGCAGCACCATGATCAAGTGCAAAGAACAAAAAAACTCCGCATCCCTCACCGAGTTTTTCCTGACCAAGTAGTACAGCTACCAGGATGATGTCCATTCCGCCACCTAAACGCGGTCCACTGTGGCTGGGGCTGCAGTACTTGACTGGCGCTCAGGAACCGGGGCTGCAGGGCTCAGTCGGGGTTAGGGGAGGGCCTGGGTTACAAACTCACCTCAGCTGGGCGCCTCACACAGGCCGCAGCCATCAACTAAGGGCTGAGGGGAAGGATCTGTGTTCAGGAACACGGCCTTCGCACCTTCGCAGTGGCCACTCGGCTGTCCTCTGGGAGCCTCAAACTCGAGTCTGTGTGACAAGGACCACGATTCCTTCGCTCTTTTTCGGATTTGTCACCTCAAAACCGACAGCAGGATTCAAAACCCTGACGCCACACAAGGCAGCAAGTGTGGACGCTAAGAGAGGGACCCGGAAGTCCCGCCCCAAGGAAATGCTTTCAGTGTGGTCCCTTATTGGTTTAACATCGCGCAGGCACTTCTGGGTAATGTAGTTCCCAGAACTTTAGAGGCAATAGAAAAGTTCTCAATCATTGTCCACAAGAATGTTGTAAGGGCCACGACTGGTGTGGCGCAGTGGATTAAGTGCTGGCTTGTGAACCAAAAGGGTTGCTGGTTCAATTTCCAGTCAGGGCACATCTCTGGGTTGTGGGCCAGGTCCCCAGTGTGGAGCACATAAGAGGTAACCGCCCAGATGTTTTTCTCCCTTTCTCCCTCCCTTCCCCTCTCAAAAGTAAATAAATAAAATCTTAAAAAAAAAATAATAATGTTGTAAAGCAGTGATCTTACAGTGATGTACCGATTTCCAGAGCCTTTGCTCATTGTGAACTACAGCCAAAAACAGTTCCTTCTTTCATTAATTTCAGCCTGCTCTCAGAATAAAAAATATTTGAGATGCTCTCAAATCTTTTGATCTAAAATAAAATATCCTTCCATAATTACATACATAGTCTAAGGCATAGCAGGACCTTGTTATTGCTTCCAAATGTGTGTAGTCTTAAGTGTGTACCTGTATTTTGCCTTATGATTAACAAAGAACAGAAATGACTCCATACTGAGCCATGGTTGGAAAGAAAGATGTATACTCTGAATAGCTTTATATAAGCAGCACCAGTTTTGCGCGCACACGCGCACACACACACACACACAAGCTGGGGGGTGGGGCAGACTGTGGAAAGTAACCTCACAGAATGATCTGATCATAATAAACTCCTAACCCTTCACGGTTAGGAGTTTATGCCAGGCCTGAAACTTCTTTAGGGAAAAGTGCTAAGGCAGCCTTGTTTTTTTAATGTGTGCGTAGGTTAATACTCCTTCAGAATACCAAAAAGTGCTGGTAATAGCACTCAATAGCAGCACGAACCCTCAAGAGAGTGTACATTTTTGTTAACTATCCTGTAATCCACTTCACACTTTGCTTTTGCCCAACTCCATGCAGTTTTCCTCTGTACCCTCAATTTCAACTGCATAAAAGTACAAAACTTATTCTCAAAAGCACTAGAGATTTTTCTCCCAGGCATGTCATCATTTTGGCTCACATAAGCTCTTATAACAATTCTCTACAGCTTCAGATGTTCCTCATGTTGACAAGTTCTACTTCTAGTCCCCCCCCAAATTAAAACAAAACAAACAAACAACAAAACAACCCTTCTCTCTTTCCTATAGTCAATAATTATGTCCTGCATATTTAGGGACAAATTTACCCATACATTTCTTCATAAAAAGTGTATTTATTTAAAGGGGGGAAGAGGAAGAAGGTGAAGGGAAGAAATACTGATATGAGAGAAACATGGATCAGTTACCTCATGCTTCCCAGGACGAAACCCAGAACTCTGGCATGTACCATGGCCAGGAATGAAACAGGCAAACTTTCACTTTCCATGGCACACAGCCAACTGAGCCAAATCAGTCAGGGCTACCCATGTAATATTTCTTAACTTATAATCTAAGACAGACACTATCTACAAGGGATAGGTTCCATGACACTGAAAATACCAAAGTCTGGATGCTCAAGTCACTTATATATAATGGCATCAGATTTGTGTATAGCTACATATTTCCTGTAGGCGCTAACAAATTTCTAGATTATAATACACAATGCGATATCAATTTTACATACTTTTTTGTAGTTTTAGAGAATATCGAAAAAACTGTTCATGTTCAGCAAACACAACCATACAACCAATATACAGCTAAACTACATAGTACACATGGGCAAAAATTTGAGTTATTTTAATATTTTCCACTCATGTTTAGTGTAAGAATGTGAAACCCATGGATACAACAGCCCAACTTGACTCTTCTTTAAAGATTTTATTTTTATTTTTAATCATTTTTATAGTTGTCCAGATACAATTACCTCCAATACCCACTACCACTTTCCCTCACCCCACCCATCCCCATTTCCCACCCAATTTATTTATTCCGAGAGCGGAGCAGAGGAAGAAACAGAAAAAAACATCAGATTCTTGCACACCTCAACTGGGGGCCTGGACTGCAAACCAGGCATGTGCCCTGCCTGGCAATCAAACCTGTGATCATTTGGTTCCCAGGCCAGCACTCAATGCACACTGATCCACACCTGCCAGAACTCAATTATTCTTTTTTAAATGACCAAATTCAGCTACACAAAATAACCAGGCCTGGGAGTCCTCAGATATGTCTAGACTGATCAAGCAGTCAAGGTCGCAGAAAAAATTCTGAAGGCATGTTCATCTAGCTGGCTGGAGTTCCTCCAATCCATAATAGGCCACTGTTCGTGGACCAACTATGGTTTTCCCTGAACCCAGTCTCTCAATCAGTAACCCTAGTCCAATGAAATATGGACAGCAGGGCATTTCATTTCCTGTATACCAAAAGAAGATGATTCACTGACAGTTCTGATACAATTTGTGCCATAAGCTCCAGGTAAAGGAAAAATCATGCCACTCTGGTAACTATCTGAGGGTCTCGTATCTGCTGCCTCCTCAGGGCAATCTCTGAGACTCCTCAAACACAATATCCAAATGAGAACCAGAAAGCCCTTCATTACTTCTAGGAAACTTTGGGGGAGAGACAAAAATTTGGTCAAAACTGGCCAGTAATTTTCCACCATCACACAGTCTGTCCACAAGGACAGAATACTTGAGGCCCTAGAAATGTTCACCTCTTTACGCTTGTAGAACCCAAACTGGTTTATAAACTACCCTGTACAGTAAAAAGGACAACCAATTTTAAAGGAGAGCGCTTGGCTGGGTAGCTCAGTTGGTTAGATCACCCCAATATGCCAAGGTTGTGGGTTCAAACCCTTGTCTGGGTACATAAATAATCAACAAATGAATGCATAAATGAGAAAAAACAAATCAGTAATTCTCTCCTCCTTTCTCTAAATATCAGTAAATAAACGTTAAAAATAGCCCTGGCTGGTGTGGCTCAGTAGACTGAGCACGGGTCCATGACCCAGGAGGTTGCTGCTACAGTTCCTGATCAGGGCACATGCCTGAGTTGCAGGTCAGGTCCCAAGTTGGGGGCGTGAGAAAGGCAACTATGATCTATGATCTATGTTTTTCTCCCTCTATTTCTCCCTCCTTCCTTCTCACTAGAAATAAATAAAATCTTTTTCTTTTTAATTGCAAAAATAAAGATTAGTGTGAAATTAAGAGTAAGGCCTGAAATATTGTACAAGCGAAAGCAATGTGCAGCAGGCACTTCCTAGGTTTATGAACTGCTAGCTGGAAAAAGTCATCAGAAGTATCACGTGAGGCCAACAAATCCCCGGGACTCCAAATTAGTCATAAAGGGAAAGCTGACACCTAAGTGCTCACATTATTCCTACTACAATATATGTGAGAACAAGAGGTCAGTTTCCCTCAGCACATTAGGGTGTGAACCGTTGCTATTTCCTAAACCTGCCCGTGGTAAAGTGGAAAAGGCTACAGCCACACAATCTGCACCGTAATCCTAAACCTAAAGAGTCCCAAGCAAGTAAGAAATTACATTTCCAATTTACAAGGAATCTTCTCATTGGGCCAATTCAAATGTAACAGCTTAAATTGAGACAGATGGCTCCTCAGAGTTTCCTCCAAGGCTGTTTGTTACACTGAACAGAAAATTGTACATTCACAACACATTCAAGGCTTTTCTCTAGTGTGAATTCTCTGATGTTGAGAGAGGGTATATTCTTGCTTAAAAAATTTCCCACATTCACTGCACTCATAAGGTCTTTCTTCAGTGTGAACTTTCTGGTGTTTGCTGAATTGGGAACTAGCCCTAAATGACTTTCCACATTCACTGCACTCATAAGGCCTTTCTCCTGTGTGAACTCGCTGATGATAACGAAGGTTAGAACTACTGATAAAAGATTTTCCACATTCACCACACTCATAAGGCCTTTCTCCGCGGTGCACTCGCTCGTGACATTGAAGGGAGTAGCGACAACTAAAAGATTTTCCACATTCACTGCACTCATAAGGCCTTTCTCCAGTGTGAACTCTCTGGTGTCTAACAAGTGATGACTTACTAGTAAAAGATTTTCCACATTCAATGCACTGATATGGCTTTTCACCCCTGTGAAGCCTCTGATGATAACGAAGGCCAGGGGCAGAGGTAAAAGATTTACCACATTCACTACACTTGTAAGACTTTTCTCTATTATGAATTTTCTGATGCACTGAAAGAGAATATTTGATATGAAAGGATTTCCCACATTCACTACACTCATAAGGCCTCTGTCCAGTGTGACCTCTCTGGTGTTTAACAAATTGAGAACTATCTTTAAAAGTTTTTCCACATTCACTGCATTTATATGGTCTTTCTCCAGTATGCATTCTGTGATGATAACGGAGGCTTGAGCTAAAGGTAAAAGATTTCCCACACTCATCGCACTTGTAAGGTCTTTCTCCTGTATGAATTCTCTGATGGTAATTCAGGGTGGAACTAGATGTAAAAGACTTCCCACATTCATGGCATTTATGAGTTCTTCGTCCCAGGTGCCGTCGCTCATGACATCGAAGGGTGGAGCTAGAAGTAAAAGATTTGCCACATAAACTGCACACATACAGCTTTTCTCCAGTGTGAATTCTATGATGGTAATGAAGGGTAGACTTAAAGGAAAAATGTTTTCCACACTCACCGCACTCATAAGGACTATTCCCTGAGTGAACTATCAGGTGTGTAAGAAGGTTATTTCTATGGGCATAAGACTTCCCACATTCTGTACATTCATAAGGCCTTTCTCCAGTGTGAATTCGTTGATGATAACGAAGTTTTGAACGACAGATAAAAGATTTCCCACATTCGCCACATTCATAAGGCCTTTCTCCTGTGTGAATTCTCTGATGATAGCGGAGGGTGGAAGCAGAAGCAAAAGATTTTTCACACTGACTGCATTTGTAAGGCTTTGTTCCTGTATGAACTCTATGATGGTAAGAAAGGCTACTGCTACTGGTGAAAGACTTTCCACATTCATTGCACTCATAACGCCTTTCTCCACTATGAACTCTCTGGTGTTTAGTAAATTGTGACTTATCCTTAAAGGTTTTTCCACATTCGCTACATTCATATGGTCTTTCTCCAGTATGCACTCTGTGATGATAACGGAGGCTTGAAGTAGACATAAAACATTTCCCACATTCATTGCACTTATAAGCTCTTTCTCCTGTATGAACTCTCTGATGATTATTCAGGGTGTACATAGATGTAAAAGATTTCCCACATTCATGGCACCCATAAGGCCTTTTTCCTGTGTGAGAGCTCTGATGATAACTGAGAGCAGCAACAGAAACAAAAGATTTAGAACAATCATTACACTTATAAGGCTTTTCTCCAGTGTGAACTCTCTGATAAGGAGTCAACACTGAACTATGACTAAAAGGTTGTGCACATTCACTGCACACAAAACTGTTTTCTCCATTGTGTGGTCCTGAGGAAGGTATGAGGAAAAATTTGTGGCTTAAGGATTTTCCACATTTGCTGCACTTGTAATGCCTTGCTCCTGTTTGAATTTTTTGATGCTGATGGAAGGTTGAGGTTACACTAAAAAATTTTCCACTTTCACCACACACACGGAAACTTTCTTCAGTGTGGCCTCTGCAGTGTGCAACAAATGAGGATTTGGACCTGAATGTTTTTCCACATTCATTGCACACAAAACACTGTCTTCCAGTATGAACTGCTTGGTCCATCAGTATGTATTGGGGGTTGAAAGCTTTCCTGCCTTCTTCCAAAGTGTAAAGACTTTTTGTGCTTTGTAATGCTGCTTCCAACTGGGTGCCTTTGTTTGGCTCCTTCACTTTATGGGTGCCCTGCTGATGAGTACCCAAGCTAGCCAGGAAGTCCTTCTCAACCTTGACACAGGTAAAGGGCTTCCCTGACACGTGGATTCCGCAGCTCTTCACAAATGAGGCCCTGCTCACACTACTTCTGAAGGGTGTCTGTCCCACATGCTGCTCCTGGTACTGGTGACACTTTGCACTGAAATGAAATGGTTTTGCACATGCCCCACACCTCAGCAGTGCCAGGCTGTGTCGTGCACCCTGCTGCTCTACCAAGTTGAAAATGTCTCTCAAGACGGGCCCACAACTCGCACATGGGTGAGTCTTCTGGGAAGATGAAGCTGTCTTGGGATTCTTGGTTTGTGATACTTGTATAGAAACATTCTGGTTAATGGGTGTCTCCACATCTTTTCTTCCACAACAGCAACCTGAATGTAGAGAAATGCTGGTGAAGTATCTATTAAGAGCAGAGAACCCCAGCACACATGCTTATATGTCACATGGAAGCAAGAATACATGAAATGTTCTTCAAAGTGAGAAAGTTCCACTGAAACACTAGCTGACTGTTGTGTATTATTGGGCCCCTAAGGTTGCAATATCATGGAAACCTCTCCAGGGGAAGGATACCAGGACAGAGCATGACACACAGAAGAGAGGCAGGGCTTACAATGCTTTTCCTCTTCCAACAGCTTCCTGCATATCCCTCTCTGCTGCTAACATTAAGCTGGGTAGAAGCACGCATACAAGCCCATTACCGTCCAATTACAAGATACTAGCTGCTGTACAAGGTCAATATATACATTTGTTGAGTGTCTGGGTGAGTAACACATGAGTGCCAATGTTCAAGAGCACTACAGACAAAGGGGTGAGAGAAAGGGTGAAATGTGGGAATCAATGGAGGTGGAAATATCTCTGGGCTGGAAATCACAGAGGAAGTGACAAGTAGTACAACTGACAAGTCAGCAAAGTGTCAAAGCTGGAAAAGGTAGAAGTAGGTGAGGCTACTGGCAATAATAGCAAAACTGTGGTTGAAAAAAAAGTCACATTTCTGGTATGATCTGGAAAAGGTAGAAGTAAGTGAGGCTACTGGCAATAATAGCAAAACGGTGGTTGAAAAAAAAGTCACATTTCTGGTATGATCTGAACGAGGAACAGACCCAGAAAAGAGATGTAGGTGAGTCATGTCAGCATGATGGTAGAAGAAACCAGCCTTCATTACGAACAAAATATTAAGATAGCTATGCACAGAGAAAATTGGTCCTTGCAGGACTAAAGAGTACCATTAAAATACTACAGCACCATGCCTGGTGTAAATGAATTAGTTTGAGTCATCACACAAACCAAAGGTTGGGGATTCTATTCCCAGTCATGGCATATATCCATTCTGTGGGTTCAGTTTCCAGCTCAACCTTGTTCAAAAGGTAACCAATTGATATTTCTCTCTTACATCGATGTTCTTCTCCCTCCCTTTCCCTATCAGAAAAAAATATACTTTATAAATAATGAAAAAACTTAAAAACAAAAAGACACTATAGCAACACAGTGGAGCACGAAAAGGAGAATATCCACACAAAGAGGTCAGGTGGTGACATCAGCTTAGTGAACACAGACAGAGAAGAAAAACAAATGAGAAAGGCAAGAGCCCAGTGTGCCAGCCACAGGGCAGATGACATTGCATGCCCAATGACATACTCTGCAGGAAGCTCCAGGAGCCTTTGTCACAGAGACCTCCATAACTCTTATTGAAGGTGAGAACCTCCACAGTATGCACAGCAGAGGAGACCCAGTACATGTTGCCATGCACCCAAGCTGCCTGCTTCCCAGAGGATACTAGCAGCCTTAACAATGACGGTACCAAGGGCCATCATCACAGGCGACCTGTAGGACAAGAGTAAGTGAGTTGTCCTTGCTCCCCCTTTCCAGCACCAGGGCAGCCACACCTCCCAACTCCCAGGCCCTAGAGCCACAGCTGCTCCTGGGATGCCTATATTCTAGACCCTGACTCCACAGCCATCAGGTGAGTGCTCAGATCTCAGGCACCAAAGCCATGACCACTGGAGGGCAGCTAGCTTCTCAAGACACCAGAATCACTGTCTCCCTGTGTGTGTGTGTACCTATGTCCTGGTCACAGGCTCCAGAACTGATCAGTGTGTGACTGAATCTCACACAACAATGTCAATTTTCCTGAGGCTAGTCAGTATCTAAGATCCTACTACTGCTTTTCCTCTGAGTCTATTCAGAGTCTAGAATCCAGATTCACACCTACGCTATAGGCACCCAAAGCTTAGACACCAACTGCACCATCACCATGAAGACCCCCTGCATTTGGCATCAAAAGGGAACCACTCAGCCAAAACAGTTCTCAAAAGAGAACAAAGTTGGGAAATCCTCAGAAACCTTCTCTACTGGTGTCAACACCCACAGTCTTACCTATATTGTCTCCCTAATGTTGAGCTCAGGTGACACAGATACAGACACTAAGCTGCTGGGCCTTCTTGTATTGAAAACTGCAACATCCAACTAAGTCCGCACTGTGACACCCACACACAGGTGATGATCTTGCCCTGTAAAACCTTTCCATGAAATCTGCAAAAATTCTTTTCTGTGAAATATACAGTCACCAACACAAGGCTACAAAGTGTACACACACACACACACACACACACGCACACACACACACACAAATCAAGGAAACATGACAATAACCCAAAAAAGGGAACACAGTAACTTATCAATCATCTCAAAGAAATGAAGTTCTGTGAATGATCAGAAGAGGACTTCAAAAGAAAACAACAGAAATTATGGTACTTAAAAATATAATAAATGAAAGGAAAAGAATGGGAGAGACAGCACCAACAGTTTATTGATCCATGAAAGAAGTGATTCAGAAACGGAAAGGTGTTTTAATACCATCCAAAGGAAAAGTAATCACTTCTGCCAAGATGTAGGCGTAGGTGGAAACACTAAGCCTTCTCCCACAGCCAAGTTTAAAAACAACAAAGTCTTAGCAACAAAAACGCAGCCAAACCACAGAAAATCGAACTATACGGAAGTCTGACAACAACGAACCATTCAGCCAAACTGGTAAGAGGGGCAGAGCCAGCAGCAGAGCGGGGTCGGGCAAGAAAGATCCACCGGACTGACCCGGGCACATAACCCAGGCTCACCAGCAGCCGTGGGTGGATCCCAGGTGTGGAGTAGCGGGTGGACCCACTGAGGGTGGACCACGGTCACACATTCAAGCGCAGATACACTGGTGAAGAAGCAAGCAGTGAGATGGACCTTGCAGGCCCAAGCGGCGGGAAGCGGAAGAGGGGACCGCCATTGTCCCTCTTTGACCCTGCCCCCACATACAGCTTCACAAACCAGCTACCTGGGTTGCCCCACCCTGGTGAACACCTAAGGCTCCACTCCTCATATGTAACAGGTGCGAAGAGAGCAAAACATTATGGCTCAAGGAGAACTCAAAGCCTAAGAGCCAATAACTCTGTGACCAAGAAATAGCCAAACTTTCAGATGCACAGTTCAAAAACACTGGTGATCAGGATGCTCACAGAACCGCCTAATTTTAGTCACAAATTAGAGGAACATATGAAGGCTAAACTAATTGAAATGAATGGAACTGCACAGGAAACCAATAGCGATGAAAAGGAAACTGGGACTCAAAGCAAGGGAGTGGACCAGAAGAAAGCAAATAATTGCCAAACAGAAAAGAGTCAAGAAGCAAGAATTCAAAAAAATGAGGAGAGTCTTAGGAACTTCCAGGACATCTTTAAACGCTCCAACATCCGAATTATAGGGGTACCAGAGGGGGAAAGGAACAGCCACCAGTGGAAAACTTATTTGAACAAATAATAAAGGAGAATTTCCCCAATAGACTTCCAGGAAATCCAGGAAGCTCAGAGAGTCCCAAAGAAGTTGGACCCAAGAAGAAACACACCAAAGCACATCATCATTACATTAGCCAAGATTAAAATGAAGGAGAGAATCCTAAAAGCAGCACGAGCAATGGGATAGTCACCTACAAAGGAGTCCCCATCAGACTGTCAGTGGATTTCTCAAAAGAGACCCTACAGGCAAGAAGGGGCTGGAAAGAGGTATTCCAAGTCATGAAATCCAAAGACCTACAACCAAGATTGCTCTATCCAGCAAAACTTTCATTTAGAATGGAAGGACAAATAAAGTGCTTCTCAGATAAGATCAAATTCAAGGAGTTCATCATCACCAAGCCCTTATTATATGAAATGTTAAAGGGACTTATCTAAGAAAAAGAAGTTAAAGAAACATGAACAGTGAAAGGACAACAAACTCACACAGTTATTAAGAACCACACCTAAAACAAAAGCAAACTAAGAGGACAGCTAGATCAGGAGAGGAAACATAGAAATGAAGATCTCAAGGAGGGTTAGCAACAGGGGAGTGGGAGGAGGAAAAGGGGGGTGAAGGTACAGAAAATAAGTAGCATAGACAGTAGATAGAAAATAGATGGGGGGGGCAAGAATAGTATGGGAAATATAGAATCTAAAGAACTTGAGACACATGGTCATAAACTAAAAGGGGGGTAATGGTGGGGACGGGGGGGGTAGGGTGGAGGGGAATGAAGGGGGGAATAGAACAACTGTAATGGCATAATCAATCAATAAAGAAAGAAAGAAATAAAGAAATTTTAAAAAAACCCCAAAACCACACAATGGGGAAACGATAGTTTGTCCAAGAAATAGTGTTGAGCTTTGGCCAGGCAGATCAACTGCCTACAGCAGCATCCTAATGCACCAAGGTTTCAAGTTCAATCCCTGATCAGGAACGAACAAGAATGAACTAATGAATGTATAAATAAGTGGAACAACAAATCGATGTTTCTGCTTTTCTCTCTCATGTCTCCCACCCATTCTTTATGAAAATCAGTAAAATAAATTAAAATAAAATAAAGTGAAAAATTTGTTGAGAAAACTGAAAATATACCTGACACCCCTACTTTACAACTCTCAGAAAAATTAACTCAAAATGTACTAAACTCTCAAATGCAACACATGAAGTAATAAAATTAAATTTAATTTAAAAAAGAAAGCAATGAACAAAACGGAAAGTGAGAATATTTGTAAGGACTGTCTCCTACGGTGTAAATATCCAAAACATATAAGGTCCCATGCAACTTAATAGAAAAAGAAAAATTAAAAAGTTGGCAACAAACTAGAATAATCATTTAATCCAAAAATCTAAAAATGGGCAACAGATATATGGTAAATGTATTTCCTTCCATGTTTTGGCACCAAAAAACATAAAACACGCATACACACGCTTTTCCTCACTAAACAGTAAAATGCAAATCAAACCAAGAATGATATCGCCCCCATCCTGATAACATGGCTATCATTAAAACAGCAGAGAGCATTGTCTGGGGTGGCTCAGTGGATTGAGGGCCCACCTGAAAACCAAAGAGTTGCTGGTTCCATTTCCAGTGAGGGCACATACCTCAGTTGTGGGTCAAGTCTTGGGAAGGGGGCATACGAAAGACAACCAGACACTGATGTTTCTCTCCCTTTCTTCTCCCGCCCATTCCCTCTCTTTAAAAATAAATAAATAAAACCTAAAAAAAAACAAACAAACAAACAAAAAAAAAAAACCCAGAGAGAACTGCAGGTGTACATATAGTAAAACTGCTGTACATATGGTTGAAATGTTAAAAAAAAAATTAAAATTAGGAAAAAACAGTAGAATGCCAGGATCTGGTGTGTACTGGGAAATGGGTACCTGTTGGTTAACAGAGACCAACATTCCTTTAAAAGATTCATTTAAACATTCTTTTAAAAGATGAATGAACTCTGACAATGTAATTAAAAGTGTGGTGACTATACTTAACAATGTCATATACTTAAAATTCAGGAGAGCAGATCTTAAGCATTCTTGGTACAACAAAAAAATTAGGTAATTAAAAAAAAAAGTAATTATAGATAGCCCTGGCTGGTGTGGCTCAGTGGATTGAGCGCGGGCCTGCGAACCAAAGGATTGCAGTTTGATTCCCAGTCAGGGCACATGCCTGGGTCACAGGCCAGTTCCCAGCAGGGGATGCACAAGAAGCAACCACACATTGATATTTCCCTTCCTCTCTCCTTCCCTTCCCCTCTAAAGATAAATAAATAAAATCTTAAAAAAGATATAAATAATTATAGATAACTTCCCTTTCTTTTTTAAAATTTATTTATTATTTTTTAAAAAATACTTTATTTATTTTTAGAGAGAAAGGAAGGGAAGGAGAAAGAGAGGGAGAGAAACATCAATGTGTGGTTGCCTCTCACATGGCCCCCATTGGGGACTTGGCTGCAACCCAGTCATGTGCCCTGACCGGGAATCGAACCAGTGACCCTTTGCTTCACAGGCCCACACTCAATCCACTGAGCTACACCAGCCAGGTCTTAATTTATTTTTTAAAATTTATTTCTTTTTAGAGAGAGAGAGGAAGGGAGGAAGAAAGGGAGGAAAACATAAATGTGTGGTTGCCTCTCATGTGGCCCCCACTGGGGGCTTGACCTGCAACCCAGGCATGTGCCCTGACTGGATGAACCAGCAACCTTTTGGACTGCAGCCCATGCTCAATCCACTGAGGTATACTAGCCAGGGCAAAATAAGGTCATTGTCTATAGTGATGGATGTTGAATTAAGTTCACTATAGCAATTATTTCACAATATGTATAAAATCACCACGTTGTACACTTTAATATATACAAAGTTTATATCTTGGCAAGGCTAGGGGAAAAAAAGGAAAGGGGATCTAAAATATTTTAAGAAAAGTCCATGGTTCAGATAAGTAATAACCATGACAGTACCTGCAACTCCTGGCTAAGGCAGGCAGAAAAAAATAAGAGCTAAAAGGACCCAAACCCTGGGATTCAAAAATGATGTGGATCTGGGCACACAATCCAGACACTGAGAGGGCAAGCACTGTGAATCCACTGAGCTCAATGCAATAGTACTGACCTTGAGTCTTTCCCTAAAAGGGTTCAGGACTGGGACTGCAGGGAGGACTGAGGGTAGTGCAAACACACCAGCCCTAACAATACAGCAATTGCCCGGAAAACTAGGGTAGCAAGCAGTGCCTGTGGCCCACACCTGAGCACTGAGAAAGGTCTTGGGGTGGATGGAGTAGAGTCTAGTCCAAGTCACTGGTGAGGCTGTGGGTCTTACCCAGAGAGGAAATAAGTGAAAAGTTCTCCAGCATCACATGGAGGTACAGGCGTCTCTGAGCCTCATCAAGCAGCCTCCATTCCTCCCAAGAGAAGTGCACAGCAACATCCTCAAAGGTCACGCTGGCCTGTTATCATGGGGAGAGAAAAGAAAAAAACATGAACATTCTATGTGTGAGAGCCCACAGCCCACCGCCCCACACATTTATCCCACACCCACCCTCCTCCAAAGCTGCACACCTCAGAGGAATTCCACTGATGCCTGTCCTACCCTCAGGTCCCTTTTTATTCATTATGTTCAGCCCTCAGCCTCATCAGGCAGGAAGGCACAGAGATGTAATCCAGTTCTGGTCCTGGCTTGTAGGGTCCCATGCACCCTGTTGTTAATTCCCTTTGGGGTCTCTAGATTGTGACAAGACACAGCCCCAGGTGTGGGCTCATTCTTCACCCTTCAGTGCCCAACACTAGGGCCCTGGGAGCATAATTCACACCTTTACTCAATAATCACATCATTCTGTAGATTGTCCCTTTGACGCCTTCAGTCCCCACCTGAGCTCCCACAGGTACACATTTGTGGACACGCTGCTTTGAAAGCCTCCTGTGTATTTCTGGCTCTTGCTTTTCTATTTGCCTCCCTGAAGCACACGTGAACTTCTGATGCCCGTGACCCTTTTTGACTGGCTGTTCTCAGCAGCCACAATGAGCCCTCACCAGTTTAAAACCCCAATACTGATGGTATCCATGCCAGGTACAGTGACAATCAAGTGACATTTGTCCCAGCTTTTGACCACTAACAAGACTGAAACCGCCTTCCCCCGAGACTACAGCACAGCACATACGGGTTGAATCCTGCCGTAGTGAACAAACAGCAACTTTGCCCTCAGTGTCATGTCATCGCAATTACTCTTCTGCCTCCAGAACTATCATGTCCCCTTGTACCATCGGAACCTTCCTCACTTGCCACACAGTTACCGTAACCACCTCCTTCCTTCACTTTTTTTCCTTTGGGTAGGACACTGATGAACTGTAGAGGAAGAAAACAACTCATCCCGCACCCTCTTTTTCCTCAGTAGTACTGCTGCCAGGACGACGTGCATTTCGCAACCTAAACGCGGTCCACCGTGGCTGGGGCTGCAGTACTTGACTGGCGCCCAGGAACCGTGGCTGCAGGGCTCGGTGGGGCGGGGGTTGGGGGAGGGCCTGGGTTACACACTTACCTCAGCTGCGCGCTTCACGCTGCCCGCAGCCATTAACTCCGGGCTGAGGGGAGGGATCTGCGTTCGAGGAGACGGCCTTCTCACCGACCGCCCTGGTGTCCTCTGTAAGCTTCAAGCTTGAGTCTGTGTGACAAGGACCACGACTCCTTCGTTCTCTCGGATTTTTCACCTCAAAAGCGACACACCACGACTCAAAACCGCGACTCCACACACGGCTGCAATATGGCCGCCAGGAGAGAGACCCGGAAGTCCCGCCCCAAGCCGGTGACAAGGAAATGCTTTCTGTCTGGTCCGTCGTTGCTTAAACCTCCCGCAGGCTCTTCTGGGCAATGTAGTTCCGCGAAGCTCAGAAGCGGCAGAATTCTCCATAATTGCCCAGGGATCCTGCAGTGATGTAGCGATTTCCAGAGCCTTTGCTCACTGTGAACTACAGCCAAAAACACAGTTCCTTCTTTCATGAATTTCGGCCTGCTCTCAGAATAAAAAATATTTGAGATGCTCTCAAATCTTTTGATCTAAAAGGAAATACCCTTCCATAGTTACATACATAGTCCAGGCATAACGGGACGTTATTGCCTCCAAATGTGTGTAGTCTTCAGTGTGTACTTGTATTTTGCCTTACGATTAACAAAGAACAACAGAAATTACTCCATACTGAGCCATGGTTGGAAAGATATATACTCCAAATAGCTTTAAATAAGCAGTACCAGTAGTGCACCCCCCCCCCCCCCCCAAATAAAGAGCCCTGGCTGGTGTAGCTCAGTGGACTGAGCACGGGCTGCGAACCAAAGGGTTGCAGGTTCGATTCCCAGTCAGGGCACATGCCTGGGTTGCAGGCCAAGTCCCCCAGTGGGGGGCCACATGAGAGGCAACCACAGAGTGATGTTTCCCTCCCTTGCTCTCTAAAATAAATACCATTGCCCTGGCTGGTGTAGCTCAGTGGATTGAGCGCGGGCCTGCGAACCAGACAATCGCGGTTTGATTCCCAGTCAGGGCACATGCCAGGGTTGCAGGCCGGTTCCCTGCAGGCCAGTTCCCAGCAGGGGACGCACAAAAGGCAACCATACATTGATGTTTCTCTCCCTCTCTCCTTCCCTTCCCCTCTAAAGATAAATAAATAAAATCTTAAAAAATAAAAAATAATAAAAAATAAAATAAATACCAACAAAAGGGGGGAGGGGAACTCTGGAAAGTAACCTCACAGGGTGATCTGATCATAAAGTCCTAACCATAAACAGCATAGTGGGGAGTCACACACCAGGCCTTAAACTTCTTTAGTGGAAAGTGCTAAGACAGCCTTGTCTAAGAATAGTAGAATCTAAAGAACGTGAGACACATGGTCATAAACTAAAGGGGGGGGTAATGGTGGGGATGGGGGGTAGGGTGGAGTGGAATGAAGGGGGGGAATAGAACTGTAATGGCATAATCAATAAAAAAATAAATTAAAAAAAAAGACAGCCTTTTTTTTCCTCCACCCTTGTCTTTTTTTTTTTTTAATTCATACTTTATTCAAATTCCCTTAATTTTTATCTATTGTCATTTTCCTGTTCTGGAATCACATCTAAGATATCACTTACACCTATTTGCCACTTTTTTTAAAAATTTAATTTATTTATCTTTAGAGGGGAAAGGAAGGAGAGAGGGAGAGAAACATCGATGTATGGTTGCCTTTCATGAGTCCCCTGCTGGAAATTGGCCTGCAGGGAACTGGCCTGCAACCCAGGAATATGCCCTGACTGGGAATCGAACCTCAAGTGTGTGGTTCGCAGGCCCGCGCTCAATCCACTGAACTACACCAGCCAGGGCTCCAGACTTGTCTTTTTAATGTGTGTAGGTTAATACTCCTTCAGAATACCAAAAGTACAGGTAATAGCAGTGAATGGGAGCATGAACCCTCAAAGAGAGTGCAAAATTTTATTAACCTGTAATCCCCTACACACTTTGCTTTTGCCCAACTCCATGCACTTGTCCTTCTGTATCCTGTTTCAACCGCATAAAAGTGCAAAACTTATTCTCAAAAGCATTTGAGATTTCCCTCCCAGCTATGTCATCATTTTGGCTCACCAACTGTTACAACTGTCTACAGCTTTAGGTATTTCTGAAGCCATAGACAAGATCTACTTCTAATCCCATTAACAAAAAAAGAAAGAAAAAAACCCTCTCTTCCCTGTAGTCAATGATTATGTCCTGCCCATTCAGGGACAATTTTACCCACATAACATTTCTTTTAAATTTTTTTATTTATTTTTAGAGAAGGGTGAAGAGAAAGGTAAGATGAAGGAAAGAAACAGTGATGTAAGAAATTAAGATTGGTTTACTTCCTGCTTGCCAGGACCAAACCCGCAAGTCTTGCATGTGTCACGCCCAGGACTCAAACTGTCGACTTTTCACTTTCTGTAACCCCCAACCAAGTGACATCTGTCAAGGCTACCCATGTAGTATTTGCTTTATAAGACAGACACTATCTATAAGGGATTGGTTCTATGACTCCGCAAATACCAGTCTGTGGAAGTTCAAGTACCTTATATAAAATGGTGTAAGATCTGCTTATAGCCTACAATGCCCTCTATACATTAACAAATTTCTAGATTACTTATAATACATAACACAATATAAACTTTATATATATTTTAAAGATTTTATTTATTTTTAAACAGAGATGAAGGGAGAGAAACACCAAGGTGTGGTTCCTTCTTACACACCCCTCACTAGGGAACCTGTCCCACAACCCAGGGATGTGCCCTCACTGGGAATCAAACCTGTGACCCTCTGCTTTCCAGTTCCATGCTCAATCTACTTAGCTACACCAGCCAGGGCATAAGTTTTATTATGCCCTGTTATACTTTTTATATTGTAGTTTTGAAGAGAAAGAAAAACTGTTCATGCTTAGTAGGCACAATCATACAACCACAACAGCTAATTGCATGGTACAGGTGAGCAACAATGTAACATTTATCTTTTGAGAATTTTCTTCCCACAGTGAAATCCAGATGCAAAATCCACACATATTATGGGCCTATTGGACTATTTTATTAAAATATGAACCTCAGCTACACAAAATAACCATGTGTGGGAGTCCTCAGATCTGTGCAAATTGATCCCACAGTTGCAGCTGAAATTCCTCCAATCCATAATGGGCCAGTTTCTGCACCAATTATAGCTTTTCCTGGACCCAGTCCCTCAACCAGTTACCCTAGTCCAATGAACTGTGGACAGGAGGACACGATTTCCTGTAGACCAGAAGACAACCCATTGACAGTTGATACAACCTGCCATCAGCTCCTGGTAAAGGAAAAATCATGCCACTCTGGTAACTATCTGAGGGTCTCACATCTGCCGCCTCCTCAGGGCAATCTCTGAGACTCCTCAAACACAACATCCAAATGAGAACCAGAAAGCCCTTCATCACTTCTAGGAAACTTTGGAGAGAAAAAAAATTTGGTCAAAACTGGCCAGTTATTTTCCACCATCATACAGTCTGTCCACAAGCAGAGAATGTTTGAGACCCTGAAAATGTTGTTCACCTATTCATGCTTGTAGAGCCCAAATCAGTTAAAGGACAACCAATTTTAAAGGAGAGCGCTGGCTGGGTAGCTTAGTTGGTTAGAGCATCACCCCAATATGCCAAGGTTGTCTGGGTACATAAATAATCAACAAATGAACACATAAATAAGAGAATCAACAAATCAGTAATTCTCTCTCCCCCTTTCTCTAAAAGTCAGTAAATAAACATTAAAAATAGCCCTAGCTGGTGTGGCTCAGTACACTGAGCGCTGGCCCATGGCCCAGAAGGTTGCTGCTGCAGCTCCTGATCAGGGCATATGCCTGGGCTGCAGGTCAGGTCCCAAGCTGGGAGCATGAGAGAGGCAACTGATCTGTTTCTCTCCATTTCTCCCTCCTTCCTCCACGCTAGAAATAAATAAATAAAATCTTTTTCTTTTTAATTGTAAAAATAAAGATTAGTATGGAATTAAGAGTAAGGCCTCAAATATTGTACAAGCCAAAGCAATGTGCAGCAGGCACTTCCTAGGTTTATGAACTGCTAGCTGGAAAAAGTCATCAAAAGTATCACGTGAGTCCAACAAATCCATGGGACTCTAAATTAGTCATAAAGGGAAAGCTGACACCTAAGTGCTCACATTATTCCTACTTTACTACAATATATGTGAGAACAAGAGGTCAGTTTCCCTGAGCACATTATGGTGCTGACTTGCAAAATTTGTAAACCTGTCCCAGGTAGAGAGGAACAGGTTACAGCCAGGTTACAAACACAATCTGTTTGTACCATAAACCTAAAGAGTCCTGAGGAAGAAAAAAAGGGTACAATATACACACATTTCCCACATGGAAGAAAATTACAAGGAATCTCCACATTGGGCCAATTCAAATGTAACAGCTTAGATTCAGACAGATGGCTCCTCAGTTTCCTCCAGGTGTGTTACACTGAACAGAAAATTATATTCTCAACATATTTAAGGCTCTTCTCTAATGTGAACTCTCTGATGTTGGGACAGGGTAGATTTTCGCATGAAAAATTTTCCACAGTCTCTACACTCATAAGGCCTTTCTCCAGTATGACCTCTCCGGTGTTGACTGAACTGAGAACTATCCCTAAATGACTTTCCACATTCACTGCATTCATAAGGCCTTTCTCCTGTGTGAACTCGCTGATGATAACGAAGTTTGGAACTACAGATAAAAGATTTTCCACATTCACCACACTCATAAGGCCTTTCTCCTGTGTGAACTCTCTGATGATAGCGGAGGGTGGAACCAGAGGCAAAGGATTTTTCACACTGACTGCATTTGTAAGGCTTTGTTCCTGTATGAACTCTCTGATGGTAAGAAAGCGTATCACTGCTAGCAAAAGATTTGCCACATTCACTGCACTCATAAGGCCTTTCTCCAGTGTGAACTCTCTGGTGTCTAACAAGTATTGAGCTGCTGGTAAAAGATTTTCCACATTCAATGCACTGATAGGGCTTTTCTCCCCTGTGAAGTCTCCGATGATAACCAAGCCCAGAGGTGGAGGTAAAAGATTTACCACATTCACTGCACTTGTAAGACCTTTCTCTATTATGAATTTTCTGGTGTATTGAGAGGGAAGATTTGTGGCTAAAAGATTTCCCACATTCACTACACTCATAAGGCCTCTGTCCAGTGTGACCTCTCTGGTGTTTAGTAAATTGTGACCTATCTTTAAAGGTTTTTCCACATTCACTGCATTCATATGGTCTCTCTCCAGTATGCACTCTGTGATGATAACGGAGGCTTGAGCTAAAGGTAAAAGATTTCCCACACTCATTGCACTTATAAGGTCTTTCTCCTGTATGAACTCTCTGATGGTAATTTAGGGTGGAACTAGATGTAAAACATTTCCCACACTCACGACACTCATAAGGCCTTTTCCCCGCATGAGTTCTCAGATGATAACAGAGCGTGGAGCTAGAAGTAAAGGATTTCCCACATTCATTGCACAC